TCCATTCTTGATGCAGTAGCACGTGGAATAGGTTGGTGAATCTCTTCACAATCCTCATCAACTATTGCAGGACAACCGATGTAATTTTAACGTGTTTGATTATTACCCAGAAACATGGTTTACGATATCTTTTATTTCCATGTAATCTCTAATGCATAGGATAAATGCTTATTCCTGCGAAAGAAGAAGAAAAAGGAATTGTTTGAGTATAAAAAAATAGGTAGGATCATGTCTTCTCCACTTAATTATCCAAAAAAAAAAAAAACAAGTGAGGAGTCACCCGATTGCTATGAAGAAACACAACAACAAAAAGGGCGAGAGTCCTTTCAAAGTAGGGCTGGTTATTAGTTCATGGGAACCTGAAATGCATGCCCCCCATTCTGATTCGGATCCGGATATGGCGAGGCAATCCAATTCGCCAATTACCCTCAAGAAATGGAAAAAGCCAAGGGAGCACTAAAATGGGGAAAAACCATAGCAATGTCCAATAGTCAACATGAGTGTATTTCTAACATTTATAAACACAAAAGCAAGTGTTCTTCTTCACCACGGTGCTACATCTCTCTATGCTTTTTAACCTTTTTTTGAATGGGCTTGTGCTTGTAATTGTATGGGCCTGTGAGGTCATTTATGCATCGCGTGCATGAGCTGCCAAAACAAGAGATTCTTCATTAACTTTGCAACCTCCCACATATGACTAGGTTTGGTTTTGTCAATATGTTGTCATGATATTATTGGAATAGGAAAATTGGCTTATTTGTCCTTTGATCAAAATGCAATAAGTCTGGAAATAGAATGAGATTCATCCTAAAAGTAAGGAAATAGAATAGGATTCATGGAAAATGGGCAGAATGAGATTCATGGAAATGGGTCATTTTTTTAAGGTAATCCAGTATGGAAGATTGGCCCCTATCTATTTTTTAAATAGTTTAGGAGTTAGTTTTTTTTAAAATGTTGGTGGTACTTATTTTTCAAATAGTTTAGGGGTTGGCCTTTTTAAGTTGTTAATGGGGTGGTGTCAATGGTTTCAAATAGTTTAGGAGTTAGTCTTTTTAAGTTGTTAATGGGGTGGTGTCAGTGGTTTCAAATAGTTTAAGAGTTAGTCTTTTTAAGATGTTAAGGGGGTGGTGTAAGTGAAAATGAAAACCATGGTGACTAGGGTTTGGGGGTGCTACCAACTTCGTACTCAGCCCCTTTCCCTATATAGAAGTTTAAAGAAGGAAAAATATTATATGGTCTACTAGGACCACGACATTAGGTGGTCTAGCCCTCCCAAAAATGTAACCAGATTTGAACAATTCGGAACTTCTTGTATTCACCTTGTGAACAATTTTAAGGGAAAAAATAGCTTTTCAGCTCTTGAAACCCTAGATTTATCATTCCACGAAAGAAAGGCCTACATTAAATCGAACTTTGAGGGGAAATTGATTTGGTTTCAGCTTCAATCATTTTCTAAGGGAAATTCACCATAATGTATCTTAAGTATTTAACTATTTAACCCGAGTAATGAACTATTTAACGTTTCACCCATATATTTTGACTTAATTTTAAAACCCATAAAAAATGAAAAAGGAAAAACGTTAAATAGATAATAAGATTAATTATGTTTTGGTAAATTATATTTTGGTAAATTTGCCTTTTCCTACGACAACGATAACAAATTTTTACATGGACTCCTTTAAGCCTTTTTTTTTGTTTACTTATTCTTTTTCACTAACTTTACAAGTACAAAACATCTCAGGAGCGCATAGATTCACTAGCCTTTTGATAGTCTCCAAGTTATGTGAACCAGGGCCATCTTACTGTTGATCTTCACTGTCCATCTAAATTGGAAGGTGGATAAGGAAAGTGGAGCATGCTTGTTTTTTATTTTTTTTTGAGTAAAGGAAAGTGGAGCATGCTAGATTATGCTCCCTAGTTCGTAGAGAGAAAATCATGAGCTCCCTAATAATTCATGGAAAGTAGGGGTCGCAATGGGCGGGGTGGCCAGGCCAAAAAAAAACTAGGACTTGGGCCACACAATGTGGCCCGAGGGCCGGGCCTAGGCAGGGTCAGCCCAATTTGTCCCAACCGGGCCCTATTTTCTCAGCTTTTTCTTTTGATTTTTTATGTGATTTTACTTGGCTTGGCCCAAGCCGCATCACCGAGCCTGACCTGGCCCATGGGCACTAGAGTCCCGCTATGGCCAGGCCCACCCAGGCCATTGCCAGCCCCAATGAAAAGTGTAATTTACACTTACATAGCTAGCGTATCCTATATTCCTATAGTATACATATGGATCATTCTGGTTACTGGACAATAAATTAGTTTTTATTCACCCAATGTTCAATTTGGTACGATTAAACCCTATTGTTCATCTTTGAGAATGAGTGGTGGATGTGTGAGCCTTGCCTAATTTGCCATATACACACATTGTTTGCTACATCTTCTACATACTTCCACAATGATAGTCGTACTAGTGATAAGGTTTTTCATGAGTCCCCCTACTCCTCTCTAAAATCTATTTTAGAGATGGATTATAGATTTTGGATATAAAAATTGGAAAAATATACTATGAGACTATTTATCTTTAGTACAAATTAGTCACCATCAATCTTGACCATTAGATGTGAAATTGGATGGCTGTAGCATTGTATAACCTCAAAGTTTAAGATTTTTTTTCTCAAACAACATCCAAACTATCAAATTTCACATATGATGGTAAATAAGTAAGCTCTTTGTGTTAAAGATAAACGGTCTCATTCTACACAATCTCGTAAAAATTTAGGAGTTGAGTCCCTACTATGGTGAATATGAAATAAAAATAAGGATAATTTTTAATAATTAAAATAATATTAAAATCAATCTCCATTTCGAGTTTTGGATGGACCACCATTATTAAACATCCATTTTACATATGGATGTTTGATACTTCAGGAGACACATATACAGACCTGCATCTCCTGATTCATAAAACACTTTTCCTTTTATATACTTGTTGCCATCCCCATAAGGGAATATATTATTATTTTTCCCTGCACACTGATGAGTTTTTTTATCTAGAGGGAGTAATGAGTGAGGGGATGATATACTCCGGCCATAGCATATAATCCCTGAGCTTCATAAAAATATCTGAACCAGCAAGACCTACGAGCCACGCAGAACACTAGAATGGACGGTTCGGATTTCAGGTGGCCCGTTTTCCTCCAGGAAATCATGGCCATACACCCAGAGAACGTGATTCACTTTCCAAGGTAGCAATGATATAGAGAGAGAAAGCGTGGCACGCTTGGCAATACCAAACAATTTATTTAGAGAGAGAAATGAGGTCCGGAGTACCTTATTGTAGAAAGAGAAATGAGATTCCTAAGACAATGCAGGCCATGCAGAAAGGGTTAAGTAAGTAAGTAAGCTCTGGAGAAGAAATTCCCAAACAAAAGTAATCTCAGAAGCAAGTAGAATGAAGGAAAGCGTTCACAAAAAGCACCACCTTTGGAGCAAGTAAAACAATGTCTTAATGCTCTCTCTCTCTCACTCTAAAGCCATTACCTAAAGAAAAAGCCTAGAGAGGAGCAAGGAGAATGAAGGAAAGTGGTCCTAGAAAGCATTGCCTTTGGGCACGTAAAACAAGTTTCAAATACTCTTTCTCTCTCTCTCTCTCTCTACTAAATTAACTAAAAAAGTCGTCTGTGGAGGGAGGAAAATGAAGCAATTTTTTCCCTCTCTACTGAGCAATGTAAGTGGTCATAAAAAGCACAATCACTCCTTCATCAACTGAATCTCTCTCTCTCTAAAAAAACTCAGGTCTTAATTCTTAAAGAAGCAATCTCTTTGAGCGAGCAAAACAAAGTTTATTATTACATATATATGTCTCTCTCTCTCTCTACTAAAATGTAGGAGGGGGTAGGACTCTGAAACCCACCCTTTTTAAGTTGGCAGAGGAGTACACATCACCAGCCATCACGCGCACAAGAAGGGAAACTGCTAACTGCATGCCCATTGCAAAAGGCTGACCACCATGACAATACTCTCTCTCCTCTCTCTCTCTCTCTCTCTCTCTCTTCTCCCTCCTCTCTCTCTTC